GGGGAAGGGAGGGGAGGGGAACGAAAGGGAGGGGGGAGGGGAGGAGAGAAGAGGAGAGGAGAGGAGAGGAGGGGAGGGGAGGGAAGGAGAGGAGGAGGGGATGAAGGAAGGAGAGGGAGGAGAAGGGGAGGGGAGAGAAAGAAGAAGAGAAGGAGGGAAGAGGAGAGAAAATGGAGGAGAAGGGGAGGGGAGAGGAGAGGAGAAGGAGGGGGGAAGGGGACAAGAGAGGAAAGGAGAGGAGGGGAAGAGAAGGAAGGAGAGGGAAGAGGGGGAGGGGAGAAGAGAAAGGAGATGGGAAGAAAGAGAAGGGGAAGAGAGGGGAAGGGAGGAGAGGGAGAAGAGGGGAGAGGGGAAGGGAGGAGAGAAGAGAAGAGAGGGAGAGGAGGGAGGGGGAAGTGAGGGAAGGAAGAGAGGCTCTGCTTCTTCTGATGCTCTTCCTATCTCAGGTTCTGAAAAAGCTGATTCTTGCCCTTAGAGGTTAATGTATCTGAGTTATCATGGTCTAATCCAACAGTGTGAGCAAGCCCATGTAATTGTCTTCCCCTGTGGCTGAAGGATTCATGATTTTCTGAGAAAGTATTGGAGGCAGATCGGAAAACACAAGAGACGAAAAAGTAGGGACAGAGGCATGATAGCTCTCACCTTTAATATCAGCACTGAGAAGGCAGAGGCAGGGGGATCTCTGAGGGTTTGAGGCCACCTGGACTAACATAACAAGATCTAGGCCAGGACTAGACAGTTTGGCACTGACGAGAGGGTGGGGGGGTAAAATAGGCTGAAGAGGGGAGTGTACCAACCGCACACTTGGTCTGCTCCACACAGAACTATTCTGATTTGAGAGACAAAGAAGAATTTTATTGGAGTCATATAACAATGGGCCTTAAGTGCTAAGCTAATAGGGAACTGTTGAAGATGTTTAAAGTTGAAAACTGATGGAAACACAAATCAGCCGGCCCCTCCTATCTGCAAACATTGTGTGTAAAATGTTATTCATAGACTGACTGTTTCTAACAATGCATTGTTCTCCATACACACTGACTGATCCCATATATTCTCTCCACTATGTATTAACAACACATAGCATGTATCAGCACAATTATATTTTCCAGAAACACCTACTAAAGCACTCTCTTCTGGCCTCACCTCCATTTGAATATTTTCTTTCATTTCCTCTCATTTGCAATGTCTTGGGTGACAGGAAGCAAAGTTTCCAAGTAGTGTCATGTTAGAGCCTTAGGAGAGAACTGATGTGGCCAAGAGTGTTAACAGGGGTGCTCTGTGTGATGAGAAATGTATGTTTTCTTTTCTCTGGCCAAATTTTTCTAGTCCAGAAAATGAAGGTTTTTCCAATATTCGCATGTAGTATATTTAACAAAGTTCTTACTGAAACCCCACAAAATCTGTCTTTCCTGCATATTTTAGAGCTCACAGCGCTCCCCTTGGTCTGTGCAAGCATTCAGTGGCGCATGTTATACTTTATTTTGGCTGCTATGCGTTGCATTAGAAGGGTGGCTCTCTTCAGACTTTGGGTGAAGTTGGCAAGCTGTGTACAGCATTGGTTCACAGACAGGACGCCTCTAGTGAGCTCTGTGAAAAAGCCTACACTGTCTATCTGCTGCACAAATACATGGGGAAGCTCATGGCTCAGGTTAGCTCTCCCCTTGGCCATCCAGCCAGCTGTGGTCAAGGTCTCATCCTCTGGGGTTCAGTCTGGCTACAGCCAGTCTTCTGCTTGTTCTCTGACTTGAGTCTCACCTACTGCCTTCCAGCTTTCATTTTGCCTCTGTAATCTTAAAATCAGAAGGTATCACCTATTTTTAAAACATTCTGTTGCTCTACAGGGCTGGCTAGGAAAAAACCTGCTCATGGGAGTCAGGCTGTCCCAGAAAGCCATCAGAGCTTCATTGATAGTTTTAAAAAGGACATCAAAGTATGAAGCGGGTATTGTTGGGAAGAAGAAGGAGTTCAGCTGGAGAGAGAGGAGCCAAGCAAGGGTTATGAGGGCTAAAAATGATTCACATTCTATACACACATTTAGGAAATCTTTACCATGTCTAGCTGTGAACCCTATGAACTGTAAAACCAATCTTCCAGGCAACATGTATGCCCACATGTGCAATAATGGCATTACCCATAGAGATAACCAATTGCTTTCTGATTGGTTTCAAGGTCAGCTTCACAGGAGAGAGTCCATGACTGTTACTGTGAGCCTCCTCAATAATAACAGGAGGTCATAGGTCCAATGAGGAAACTTACTACTGTGATTTAGTTTAATTGACACAGCGCTAAAGTACCTTCTAAGTATCTATATTTATGCATATAGACAAAATCCTCTCTCAGCTTTAACAAAGAAACTGCTCCTTGCAGTGAATAAATGTGAGTACAGAGAGACTCATAGCTGCCCAAGATGCTAAGACCCAAAAAAAGACATTTATACCATATCTCTAAAGCTCAGAAACCACTGCTGAAGAGGAGTTGGAAGATAAGGCTAGAATCCCAAAATGCTGTCGTCTGGACATGACATACCAATTGCAATCGTGAGCTCATGGCAGCTGCCATTGCTTTCAGTGAGCCTTCACAAGACTGGTCCTGTCAACTCTCAGTGACAGACAAAGGCAGGAGCCATGGGCCCCCACCCCTTACTCCTAATGACTGCCTATTGATAGGCTTTGGGAGATGCGGAGTCATTGTCTTCAGATGTGAATCGACTGCCGAGTCCAGCATCATTCCAACGGAGAACTTCAAATGCCTGGTCACACAGATGGCTCTGCTTCAACTCAGAGGGTCACAAAACAAAGCAAAAAAAAAAGTAGAAATGTTGAAAAGAAATTTGTAAGAAAGGGGTTTAGAAGAACGGGAAGGATTTGTGAAAGGTGGGAGGGGAAATAATCAGAATATATTATATATGTGTGAAATATATGCTAAACTGAACAGATTTAATTAATAAAAAAGAAAATAATGAAAAGATAAAATGAACAACATCCCTTCCTACCTCTCCATCTGCCGTCAAAGGCTCCTTAGTAATTAGAGTTCTCTTGGTATTTTTGCCATTTCTTTTTCTTTTTGGAAGCAGTTCCTACTAATTTCATGAGCCACAAATTCTTTTATTAATTCCAGCATTCACAACTTTTCACATTAGAATGGATGATGTAATGCCGTTTAAATAGCAAAATAGCAATCGTTTTTCTTAGGGGT